AAGTGACGGAGGGACACCAGCACAGCGTAGCAGAACCACACGTAGGCTGCCACCTGCAGCCCGATGAGCCCGTAACCAGCTGGGGATTCGTATGTGTACAGCACCTGGCCTGGATCAAAGAACTGGACCACAGGACAAGGTTTGTCATAGCCCTGGCCTCTGACCCTGGATCCTGCCCTGGGCACCAGGCCGGGCCAGGAGACTCGGGACAACTAGGAGTGGGGTTGGGATTCTACACAGGTACAGAAGCAGTCTACACATGCTCGCCACAGGACTAAAGGCTGCAGCCCATACCATGTGTGACTCAGTCCATCCACACCGGCACAGTGAAGGAGGCCCTGCTGTTACCCCACAGAGGGGACAGAAAGTCTACAAAGAGCCCTGAAGGAGGCTCAGGTCCCCCTAACTTGTCACAGGAGGAAGCAGGCCCTTAGTAGGAGTGGGAATGACCAGCTAGGATGTGGGGAGCTTCACCAGAACTAGGTCTCTGACTCTTCAACATGGAGCTTAACTTGATAGACAGTGAGAGGCGAGGAGGAGGGAAGCTAATCAGAAAGGGTGAGGAGGGAGGGATGGGAAGGCAGAGGCCCAGCTGGAGGAGGAGATGACGCTCTGCTCTGCGGGACAGGCAGTAGACAGAGCAGGAGGGAGAGACTGGCCACTCACTTCCGCCTCGTAGATGAGCAGCACCACGTGGGTGAGGGAGTACAGCGTCATGTACACAGACAACTTCACGGAGCCCGAGTGGCTGATGCGGCCTCTGGCAAGCAGGCCGTGAGGGGAGACAGCAGGGCAGATGCTGTCAGGGAGGAGGGAGCGGCCATACCCCCCACCTCCACCTCCCTGCCCTGCCCCCCAGCCCAGCCCAGCCACCCATTGAGCAGCCCCTGCCCGGGCACCGTGTCACCGTGAATCCCTTCCCCAGAAGGATGAGTGTGAGCAGGAAGATGAGGAAGCTGGAGGAGAAGAGCAGCTTGGCTGGGAAGGGAGGGAAGGGGAGACGGCTCAGGTACGGGCTCAGAGGCCAGCAGTCCCCTGGGGAGGGCTCTGCCTCCCTGGGCTCCAGTGTGTTCTCACCCAAGATCTTCAGGCTCCCATTGCCAATGCCGTCTGTAGCATACTGGCCCCAGTAGATGCAGAAGAACAGGAGGCTCAGAACTGGGGGAGACGAGAGGCCGAGAAGAGACAAGACGAAAAGCAGCTTTGGGATATCCCTGTCCTGGAACACCATGATCCAAATGTCTGACCCCCTGCCACCCCCACGAGAAGTCCAGAGCATCTGTTACTGCGCCCTGCTAGGAAACTGTGCAGGCTATGGCCCAGCCTCTTTCCCTCAGACCCAACAGGCCAGACTACAGCATCACTTTCCTCAGACCCTCCTCCCAAGGCTGTCTGCCCAGAGAACCCAAGATCTGGAATACTTTCAAAGCTCACCCTCCACTCCTGCTGCCGCCATGAACATTTTGTAAGTTGTGTGGAGTAACTGCCGGCCTTTCAGCAAATCTAAGAAGGAAATGGAAAAGCTGTACACAGGTGAGGGAAGGAGATTTCCCTCTGTGCTCTCCTGCCTCCCCCCCCCCACCTCCCTCTCCCTCCCTCTCCCCCCCCTGTGTCCTCTCTCTGTCTCTTCTTTCTTTCTTTGTTTTTCGACACAGGGTTCCTCTGTGTAACAGCCCTAGCTGTCCTGGAACTCGCTTGGTAGTCCAGGCTGGTCTCGAACTCACAGAGATCCGCCTGCCTCTGCCTCCCGAGTGCTGGGATCAAAGGCGTGCGCCACCAATGCCCGGCTTCTCCCTCTTCTCTTAACCCTCACTCCACAGGCGCTGTACTCACATCCAAAGTAACAAGAGAGGATGAAGATGAGGGTGAAGATGAGGAGGAAGGTCACGTCTGTCTCCAGGATCCCTAGGATTCCACGGGAGGGGTAGGAGAAGGCTTTTTGAGTGCGTCTCCCTACCCGCTCCCGGCTTCCATCCTGGCCTGTTCCTCCAGTGTCTGCTCACCAAACTCATCGGCTGAGAAGTGCCGCGTCCAGAAGGACTTGCCGTTGGTAAGGACCATCTCATATTCCAGCTGCAGTCCGTCTCCCTGTAGGGAGTGGGGAGGCCTAAGAGGGACTCTGGGTAGGTGGGGCGGGGGTCAGTGGGGGGGAGAGGAGAAGAGCCAGACAACTGCCCCAGCCCCTTACCCCACACTTGCTCAGTGCGATATACCACCATCTTTCACGCACAGAGCGGAAGCTGCGGCCACTGGAGCAGCTCAGGTAGCGAGTTCCCTCCTCTGACACCACCTGGGGAGAAGCCAGAAGGCTGAAGCCTTGTCCCTGGTGTCCCCAGCCACCACCACCCCCCCGTTAGCACCTGCATGCCCCCTCGCACCTGACAGCCAGACCAGGCATACTGGGTGGTGAGATTGATGACCTGGTTGTTTTCCGGCCTGATGACAGACTCCTTGGCCAAGCAGTCCTAGGGCAAGCCAGGAAACATGGTCACCCTCTGAAGGACTGCGGCCTTCTGCTCTTCCACACACAGCGCTCAGAGCCCTCACCTTGTCCCTTGCCTTGTACACCGCTGGCCACTGGGATGGGTCGTCGAAATAGAGGAGGATGTTCTGACAGCACTTGGCCTGGAGAGCCAGAGGTTTGTCGGTTGGGGGTGTTTGCAGGAGGCTGGACAGCTTTTGCCTTGGAGGGTCAAGGTAACGTCCCGCCTTAGGAATGTGGCTTTGGAGACTCACCTCGGGGTATCGGAATCGGAAGTCCAGTCGGCCATAATCGGAGAGGAAACAAAATCTTGTCAAGAACACCCAGTCCTGGCAAAAGGACCCAGTGAAATGTGAGTTCAAAACCTCAGCCCAACCCCACCCACAGACCCCCAACTTTTCTTCCCTACCCGAGGCTATTTGACTGCCCAAATGCCACAAGGTGGCTAAGTCACCTCCAGAGTCCTTCCCAGATCCATTTGCTGTGTGTCTAAATGCCTGCTGCCCTGGTTTCCCCTCAGATGTCCCTCAAGTTTCCTTCCCTACCCCATCTTCCAGACACACTGAAAAAGACCATGCATGGCCAGGTGCACATCCCTGCCACAATCTGTCCTGCACTCTTTCTGAGATGTATCCCTCCTCCAGTTACACACAGACACACACAGACACACACACACAGACACACACACACAGACACCATACACAGACACACACACAGACACACAGACACACACACACACACACAGACACAGACACACAGACACAGACACACACACACACAGACACCATATACACACACCATACACAGACACACACACACAGACACCATACACACACACCATACACAGACACAGACACACACACACACACACACACCATACACAGACACAGACACACACACACAGACACCATACACACACACACACACACACACACACACACACACACACACACACACACGCCCCAAGGTGGTCCCACAGACCATGCCATCCTGGGCAACCTCCCCAACCTTCCCTGCTGGTCCTCAGCAGGCCAGGCGACCTCCACTTGGTGGAGTGAGGGGTGCTGTCCCTTCAGCACCACCACGGTGCAGCTGTGCTGTGCGGGCTGTAACTCCGACTCTCCGGACCGACCCCTCCCCAACCACAATGCAACCCCCGGCCCGCAGTCTCCGCCCTAGCCCAGTCCCCCATCACCCAGGCCCCGGCCCGGCTCGGGAGGGGCGCAGGGGGCGGGGCGGGGCGGCACCCTCCCGTCTTGGGTCCCGCGGGCCCGGGATAGCTCAACGTGCTCACCTCCTTGGAGCTCAGGTTGCCCCGCACGTACTTGGCCCGGGCGCGGGGGGACAGTGGCAGCAGCAAGAGCAACAGCGGGGGCAGCAAGCGGCGCAGCGCGGGCGCGCGCGACGGCTCCATTCCTCCCGCTCTGGCCTCGGCTCTGCTCCGGCTCCCGCTCCGGCCCGGTGACGGCGGCGAGAGCGCGCGGGCCGGCCAGCGCGCGCCGCCGATTAAAGGGACCGCGGGCCTCCGCGGTCTCCGCCCCCACCTCCGGGATGGACCCTTCCCACCCTTGCCGACTCTCGTCCCCTCGCCTCAGCTCTGGTTCTCTTCTACAGGAGTCTCCACGACACCTCAGGATGCGAGCGTCCTAAAGTGAACTCACATCCCCACAAGCAGGGCCTCCTCAGAACTGCAGACTCCAGGATGCCCACGACCCAGCAAACTGAACTCTGTCCTGACCACTCCCGCCCAATTTAGACCAAATTATTCCATTATTGCCCATTCGAAAACCCTTGCCAAGTGCCCGTAGACTAACACAGAGAATGAGACACTGTCCTGGGCCACACGTGCACACACGGAAAAGCCTTCTACCAAAACAGCCATTCCCAGCTGCCTGCCCCACGCCTGCGGTGGACCCCAGCTGTTGCCAGATATCCAGGAGCTGGTACTCGGGATGCCTGGGCGAAACCCTTGGGTTTGCCATTTTCTCACCAAAAGACAGGTCAGACAGCGGGGCCCTTATCTCCCAGTGTAGCTTCCTCCGCCCTCCCAAGCTACTATTAGTCCTATCATTCTCCATAGAGCAACGAGTCCAACTGCATCCTCCACGGCAGAAAATTACTGTTGCTCAAAATACCATTTACAAAGCGTTCCTGCCAGACGTGGTGGCACGCACCTTTAAGCCCTGCACTGGGGAGGCGGAGGCAGGCAATTCTCTGGGAGTTAGGAGTTAAAGGCCAGACTTGTCTATGCATTGAACCCCAGGCCAGCAGGGCCGCATAGTGAGAATCTGTTTAAAAACAAAAAGCCACTGATCGGTTGTGGCACGCCTTTAATCCCAGCACTCAGGAGGCAGAGGCAGGTGGATCTCTGAGTTCAAGGCCAGCCTGGTCTACAGAGTGAGTTCCAGGACAGCCAGGGCTATTACACAGAGAAGCCTTGTCTCAGAAAACAATACAAAAAAACTAAAAACCAAAACAGAATAAAATCTGCTTTCCTGAGACAGCCACTCCCTGAAAGTCAAGAGGACCGAGAAGGTGCTTTATTGAGGTGACCGGGAGTATGGGACACGGGATGCCGGCCCCCCAGCCCTACCCATAGTCTCCTCAGTAGAGTTTCATTGGGGGGAAGGACCAAGCCTCTGGACTTCTCTGAGAGACCACCCAGGAGAGGCTGAGTAGTGGGGCAGGAGGGTCGGGGCTCCAGTCCAAGGCAGATGTTCGGGGCACCAAGGGGGACAGTGGCTGAGGCTGGGGCTGGGGCTGGGGCGGAGTGGCTATGAGCCAGATGCTTTTCAGCATATCAAAAGCTGTTGGGGGACCCCAAGCTGCAGCGGATGGTGATGATACCGAGGGCAGGAGTGGCAGCCGGTGATCTGGAGGTGACACCAGGCTGGCCCTGTGTGACCCAGTGCAAGTGTGAGGCGGGGCGAAGTTGGGCCTCTTTGTCCCCTGTTGAGTCCTTTGCCTCCCCTCCCTTGGAGCATGCTCAGGAACGTTGCCATCAGAAGGTGTCCTCCTCTGTCTCTCGGGGACCCTAGGCTCCGTCTCTGGCACAGAAGAAAGAAGCATGGAGATCAGCAGAGGCGTGAAAGGGGAGGAGGGGGGACAGGAAGTGGACTCACCAGGCGAAGGGGACTGGCAGCCTCGGAGCACCATGGTGAGATCAGGCACGCAGCCATGGCGGCCTTGTAAGCTTCTCAGGATGGCATCTCTGGACTCCTGCACTAGGTCCCTCCTGGGAAAGGCTTGGGGCAGACTCAGTTGGCACTGCAGCTCCTCCAACAGCTGGCCCAACACAGGGAGCTCTGGGGAACTCGGTGGGCCTCCTGGTCCCCGGTTCTCCTTGCCTCTTGGCTGTACGGCTGGTTCTTGGACGCTGACTGGGCTGCAGGAGGGCTTGGTGGGTAGCAGGGGGGTGCATGGTTCCAAGGAGCTGCTGTTAAGCAGGCGGGCCACATCCAGGGACTTCACTTCATGGTTGAAGAGCCCCCGGTGCTCCCGGCTCAGCCTGCCCTGAGTTATGACGACAAGCTTGGAGGCTGCAGAAGCTATGGGATCCTGGAGGGCTGCAGACGACTCCCGGCTGGACACGGAAGGATCCTGTCGGGCCAGGGGCCGATGGGTGCTCACTAGGGCCTTGTTTCGCTCCCTCCGAGTTTTTCGACGACGGATACGGCCAGGTTTTTCAAGTTGCTGGAAAGGTTTGGGGACTCGTCCCCGAGGGTCCATGATGTCCTAGAAGGCAGGGTGGTCATCAGATGCAGATAAGTCAGGGACAGTAGTTAAGTGGGAAAAGATGGTCAGGGCATTTCAGGTGAGAAAAAGAAGTGGGCAGAGAGCCACTGTTCACAGAGGGACTCAAATGAGGTCCAGGTAATGACAGTAGGAACGAGATCAGGAAATGGAGACACAGTAACAGGGAATAAGAACATGATAAAACCGTTAAAGGATCAGCGGAGAAGCCGGGCGTTGGTGGTGCACACCTTTAATCCCAGCACTCGGGAGGCAGAGGCAGTCGGATCTCTGTGAGTTCGAGGCCAGCCTGGTCTACAGAGCGAGTTCCAGGACAGCCTCCAAAGCCACAGAGAAACCTTGTCTCGAAAAACCAAAAAAAAAAAAAAAAAAAAAAAAAAGATCAGCGGAGAGCTCTTGGACCCCAGACCAACAGCGGGGAGGCTAGCATGGGACTGATCCCGACCCCCTGAGTGTGAGAGTTAGTGAGGAGACCTGGGCAACCTATGGGGTCCTGAGCAGTAGATCAGTGTTTTTCCCTGGCATACAAATAGACATTGTGTGTCCATAACACAAAGAGGGTTGCTCTCTCAGCCTGGACTCTTAGGGGAGTGCCTGGACCCTGCCCTGAGTGAAATGACAGACTCTAGATATCCCCTATGTGGAAGGAAGTGGGGATAGGGTAGGAGGCTGGGGGGGATGAAGGGGGGTGTGGGAGGAGGGGAGGGAGAGGGAACTGGGATTGACATGTGAAGCAAGCTATTTAAAATTAAAAAAAAAAAAAACAGTTAAAAGATGACGGCCAGGCCTGGCTGTGCAGGCCTCTAATCCCATCTGTTCAGGAAGGCTGGAGCAGAAGAATCAAAACTTTAAGGCGGGCCTGGGCTATAGAGTGAGTTCAAAACCAACCTGAGTAACACAGGTCCTATATTTTAAAAAATCATTTTTTTTTTTTTGGTTTTTCGAGACAAGGTTTCTCTGTATGGCTTTGGAGGCTGTCCTGGAACTCACTCTGTAGACCAGGCTGTCCTCGAACTCACAGAGATCCGCCTGTCTCTGCGTCCCGAGTGCTGGGATTAAAGATGTGCGCCACCACTGCCAGGTTTAAAAATAAAATGTTTAAGGAGCCTGTGTCTTAGAGGCTGAAGAGCTGGCTCAGCAGTTAAGAGCACTCAAGGCTCTTTCAAAGGATCGAGCTCAGTTCTCAGCAGCTACATCAGCCTAAGTCTAGCTCGGGAGGGTCTGATGTCTTCTGGCTATTGCAGACATCCACACTCACATTCTCCATAATACCCCCCCACACCTACACACACACACACACACACACACCTACATACACACACACACTTACATACACACACACACCTACATACACACCTACATACACACACACACACCTACATACACACACACACCTACATACACACACACATACATACACACACACATACATACATACACACACACACACACACACACACACACCATACAAAATTTTTTTAAATCTTAAGAGGAAATAATCTGGGTTTGCACACATGAAGCCCTGATCACTGAAAAAATAAAAGCTAGGGATACAAGTCAGTGATAGAGTACTTGCTTAACAACTGCATGAACCTAGGTTCCTATGCTCAGTGGCCAGTACTGTATTTTTTTACACATATATATTAAAAACAAATGAGTGAGGTAGTGTTGGCACTTGGGAGACAGAGGCAAGCGGATCTCTGTGAGTTCAAGGCCTGCCTGGTCCACAGAGTGAGTTCCATCCAGGGCAGCCAGGACTACACAGTGAAACCCTGTCTCAAAAAAAACAAGCCAATAAATTAAAAAACAACAACAACAAATAAGTAAATAAAAAATGGAGGACGGACCAAGCAGGGTGCTACCCACCTATATCCACCCCCTTTGGGAGGCTGAGTCAGGATGGTTATGTGTTTGAAGTCAGCCAATAAGACACGGCCAGATAGTGTCTCAAAAAGAAAAAAACCCACAGTGGTGGTACACACCTTTGATCCCAGCACTCGGGAGGCAGGGGCAGGCGGATCTCTCCAGTTCGAGACCAGCCTGGTCTACAGAGTGAGTTCCAGGACAGCCAGGGCTCTAACACAGAGAAGCCCTGTCTCGGAAAACCAGAAAAAGGACGAATGCGCTTTTGGCTGGTCTTGAAGGTAGTGAGTTTTCTCAACTGATCGTTCGCGGTCAGTTACAGATGGAGCTACTGCGGTACACTTTCCCGCTTCTCACGACTGCACGGGACTCATCTTTAAGAGAAAGAGAGAGAGAAACACGGAAAATGGAAGTTGGGAACGAGATCACCAGCCAAGGAAGAACTCTGAGGCGACTAGGATGAGATTTGGGCCGGAGTGGAGATACACGGTTCGGGGAGGCAGGGCAGGAAAGAGGGAGGTCTGTAACTCCGGGATTTGTAAAGTGGCGGCAGGGAGACCAGGCGCTCAAGGTCATCCTCAGCGTCATAGCAAGTTTTCGGCCAGCCTGGGCTACATGAGAGCTCGTCTCAAAAAAAATTAAATAATAAATAAATAAAACTGAAGCTGTAAGGCAGGAAAGCGCGGGCCGGGCTGCTCCCGAGGGGAGGCCTGAGGCAGGGGGACACCGAGGAGGGTTGGTGGGGACGGGCGGGTGGGGGAGGGGCGACTCACCCTCTTCCCTCCTAACGAACCCGGCCCTGGACTCCGCGTGGCTGTGGAGAGGGATGGCTTCTCCTCCGGGGAGACCCAGGCCTCGACGCCGCTCCCGCTCTTTCGGCCCCGGAGAGCACGTGCGCGCGGGCGCTAATGTCACACGCATGCGCGCCCCTGGCCACGCCCCTCGCCTCCCCGGCCCAAGGGAAGCACGAGGCTCCGAGAGTGACAGTTATAGCCCCGCCCACCTTGGCCTCTTTTTTTCCACCCCTCATGGATTGGATTAGAGGTCCTCGAGTCCCGCCCCCCTTACTCAATGCTGATTGGCTTAGGCTTCTGGCGGACTGCAGGCCAAGGGGAAGGCGCGAGGCCCCATGCTCGGTCGCCCAGAGCCAGCTGTTTGACTTTAGAAAACCGTAACTGCTCTGAGCCTGTTCCCTCCTCTTTTCGTTTGTTTCGTTTTCTTCGAGACAGGGTTTCTCTGTGTTACAGCCCTGGCTGTCCTGGAACTCGCTCTGTAGACCAGGCTGGCCTCGAACCCACAGAGATCCTCCTGCCTCTGCCTCCCAAGTGCTGCTGGGATTAAAGGCATGCGCCACCACCTGCCACCTATTTTTTAAAATATTTATTTATTATGCCTACATGTCAGAAGAGGGCACCAGATCTCATTATAGATGGTTGGGAGCCACCATGTGGGTGCTGGGAATTGAACTCACGACCTCTGAAAGAGCAGACAGTGCTCTTAACCTCCGAGCTATCTCTCCAGCCCTGCCACCTATTTCTTAATCTGTAAAATCCGTTGGTAGTAGTACCGCCCCCATACGATTTGTAGAAGGTGGGATGAACCACCATACTTACTGGAGTTTTAACTCTCCACTTGAGGCATTTTCTCTGCCTCCAATGTATCTGTCTACACATGTCCCCTTGCACGTATTTTAGCTTTTAGGGTTGTTTCTTTAACTGGCTCAGTTACCCAGGCTGGCCTCTTGTCTCCCGACTCAGCTAGTCTTTAGTTTTTTGAGATGGTCTCCTTAGCCACTTTACAAATCCCGGAGTTACAGACCTCCGTCAGGTAGCCCGGAACTCTCTTCTCCAGCCTGAGGACAAGCCCTGGGATTACAGGCCTGCTCCACCACAGATGGCCCTCAGACTTCCAAGTCAAGCTAAACTATGCCGGCGTCTATCCCTGTCGAAATGTTAATAATTATACAAGTCTTTTCTTTCTGCTTCTCTAATCTTCTGTAGCTCACAAGGCTTCTGGAACCCAGCTCTAGGTCACAGGTTCCTAGGGGGGTTACATAACAACGGGGGGGGGGGGGGGGTCACGAAAAAGGTTTCTGAAAGTACAACAAAATCAAACATAATAAATCTCAAGTGTTTCTAACAGCGCTTATCCATTTTGCATCTCAAAACTTGGGGTGGTGGCAAGAGCCTTCAATCGCAGCATTATGGAGGAGGAACTCTGTCAATTCGAGGCCAGCCTGGCCTACAACAGCAAGTTCCAGGATAGCCAGGACTAACTACATAGACCTTGTCTCAAAAAACAAAAACAAACAAAACATTTCGTGACAGCTTTGGTCAGGAACATGTAAGTGCTCACAGGTGAACTACACACAGTGCAGGCTATGCACCGCCAGTGAGCACTGGCTCGGAGTCTGTTTATTCCTAGACTATATATATGCTATGACTTGCAGTGTTTTGACCATACACAAAAGTTTCCTCCCGTTATAGAAACAAGTGCTGGAAATTAAAAACAACAACAAAACAAAACGAAAACCAGTTGGGTGGTGTTGACACAAGCACTCTGGAGGCAGAGACCAACCTGGTCTACACAGTGAGCTCTAGGTCAGTCTGAGCTATGGAGGGAGACCTCCTATCTTTGAAAAAAGAAATCAAAATAAACAAACCAAAAACAACTTTCTCAGGCAAAAAAAAGGTGGGGGGGTGGGCCAGGCGTTGGTGGCGCACGCCTTTAATCCCAGCACTCGGGAGGCAGAGGCAGGCGGATCTCTGTGAGTTCGAGGACAGCCTGGTCTACAGAGCGAGTTCCAGGACAGCCTCCAAAGCCACAGAGAAACCCTGTCTCGAAAAACCAAAAAAAAAAAAAAAAAAAAAAAAAAGAATTCCTTTTCGGCCGGGTGTTGGTGGCGCACGCCTTAAATCCCAGCACTTGGGAGGCAGAGGCAAGCGGATCTCTGTGAGTTCGAGGCCTGCCTGGTCTACAGAGCGAGTTCCAGGACAGCCTCCAAAACAATGAGAAACCCTGTCTCGAAAAACCAAAGGGGAAAAAAAAGGGGGGGGGGAAACTCAAGCAGAAGAAACTTAAGCATCCCTGTTCACCATGGTAGAGGCAGTAGTATGGAGAGTTTGACGTCACCCGAGACCGTACCTCCAAACACACATCATGCCTGATACTTTCCCCTCAACACATGGCTACAGCCAGCATCTGACCCACTGATGTAATTAATATTCATTCAACAAGCACTATACTGTCAGTAGCGACTTGACGCCAGGTGCACACATAAGTAAAAACCCTCACTATCTCGCCGTCAACCTAACTGGGAGAAACGGATAGATGCAGAAGCCCAGCCTGTGGGGGTACTGCAGGAAATCAGCAGGCCATTCAGGGAAGAGCGAGACCTGGGAATCCGAGAAACACTGGGGTTTGGGTATTAGGTCAGGATTAGAGTCAGGGACAGAAGGAACATAGCCGACAATAGCCTTGGCTGCGGATATGGGTTTTGGGATCCAGACCCACCCAACTGAAGCTGGAGGTGTTGTTCCGTGTCTAGAGAGAGGAACAGGGGCCTCGGATGTGAAGACGCTCTGTAGGAGGGTGCCAGGTTGGACCTGGGCTGCGCCCTGTGGCCGTCTCTAATTTCTGTTCCTCCTGCACCTTCTATCTCCCTCCTCGGTCCTGCGGTGCATGCACCGCACAAAGGTATGTGTTTGAGATTCTATACCATTAGAGATAATGTTGAAGCCGGACTTAACCCCAATGCTTGGGAGACAGAGGAACGTGGATCACTGAGGAGTTCGAAGCCAGTTTGGTCTTCATAGCGAGTTCCAAGACAGCCAGAGGCACACAGTAGGGCTGTTTCGTAAAAACAGCAACTACACAAGCAATAAATAAGGGAAGAAACCTAATGTTGAAGCTGGATCTAATCCCAGAATTCGGGAGGCAGAAGTAGGTGAATCTCTGAGTTTAAAGGCAGCCAGGGGATTCAAAACAAAAAGTCTGGAGCTGTAAGTCGGGAGGGACGCCCCCTCCAAGCCGCTCTGGGACTTCCTTTTAGAAACCTCTAGTCTCCAGCTTCCTTTCCTTTCCATTTGTTTTTGTTTTTTGGAGACAGGGTTTCTCTGTGTAGCCCTGGCTGTCCTTGGAATTTGCTCTGCAGACCGGGCTGGCCTCGAGTTCGGAGATCCCTCTGCCTCTGCCTCCTGAGCTCTGGGATTAAAAGTGTGAGCCACCACCGCCCAGCTGGGCCGCGTCCTTTTACGTTCCCCTACACCCGTAGGAAATGAGAGCGTCCCTGCGAGTCACCCCCTCCGGGGATCCAAGAATGAGCCCGTCCACTCCCTGTCCCACGTGAATGGGTTACACCCCCCCGCAGGTGGTCTCTTCCGGAGCCTTCTGGCCCAGCAGCAAATGATCTCCTCCCCCGAGGAGGTGGCGCTAGGTCGTCCTTGCTCCTCGTCGGCTTTGCAGGTACGCTGCCCGTTTCCCGTCCACTCCGGGTTGTCTGTCTGCCCCTCGTCTCCCACCCCGCCCCGCCCCGCCGCACCCCCCCCCGCCGCGCGTGCTGCGTGGTCTCGCCTGCCCCTCCCCCGCTGCTTGGGGCCGCTGGCGGCCGCGAGGGGTCCCGGCGGGAAGCGACAGGCGAGCCCATTGCGCGGCCTCGGTCGGGGGAGGGGAGCGAGGACTCTCCTTCCTATGTGACGGTTCCCTTCCTGCGAGAGGAGGTTGCGTCCGGGCTTGGCGCTCGCCCTGCGTGCGAGCGAGCGAGCGAGCGCGGCGGGACGATCCATTGTGTTGGTCCCGGAGGTAGGGGTGGGCGTGGCGGATCCGCGTCCTCGCGGAGCGTTCCCGGGCGGACTCCACTGTCTTCCGCAGAGGCTGCGGTGTGGAGGATGAGCGGGGAAGAGAACCCGGCCAGCAAGCCCACGCCTGTGCAGGACTCGCAGGGCGACGGGCGCTGGATGTCTCTGGTGAGTGACCCCACGCGGTCTGCAGGGTTAGGGACACGGGGGGGGCGGCGGGTGCTTCTAGACAACCCCGTCTTCGTGGCGTCCACGTCTTCACCTCGGTGAGAAGCCAGGTTTTGATTGTCCAACCTGTGCGAGCAGGGTGGGGCGGGGCCTGGAGCATGCGTGCCAGTGACTCTTCCTTGGTTTCCCTGCAGCACCATCGATTCGTGGCAGACAGCAAAGACAAGGAGCCAGAAGTTGTCTTCATCGGGGACTCCTTGGTGCAGCTAATGCACCAGTGTGAGGTAAGCGCTGCCCCGTTCCCCTCATTAGCACTTTGGGTCCAGAACTCGAGCCAGACAAAGTAATGGGATACAGAAATGCCCTTGGTAAGCAGGAATCTAACAGTCTCCTGTAAAGGCAATATTCTGCTAAGAGTAAAGCGTGTGCCTTGAGTTTGTCGGGTTGGGCTTGGCTATATCAAGACTTAAATTGAGACTTTCCTTTGAGATTGCCCAAGGTGAGGCTTTTTATTGTTTGCTTAAAGTAGAGCGCATCCCCTGTTGGGTTTACACAAAGTTGTAATAGCTTTACGGAAAGTGAAGGTCAATTATAATGCTGTTCTGCAAAGACTATCCGTCGTAAAGCCTTTGCCGGAACAGGTTTAGCCATAGTGGCTTTTTTCACAGTGAGATAGATTCAGTTGTATTGCTGTTTGCTCCATGTGTGGCTCAAGCAGACAGGATTTTTTATAAAAATGAATGTAACTTCTGTAGGATTTTGGTTCAAGCAAGACAGGAATAGG